ATTTGTGTGTGTCCCTAACTATCTCCCGGCTGTTGACCAAGGCTGTGTGTTTTATCTGCTCCAGCCGCGCCTATCTGGAAAACCCAGGTAGAAAGCAAGGGGGGCTGACAAGATCCATGTACTTCAACAGGCTGGGTGTGAGTGAGCGACCATAAGCCGAACCTGGGAGCAGCGTGTGTAACATTGGCATCTTGAGGTACTAAGTGGTTTATCCCTGTACAGCAAAGTAAGAGATAGCTACACTACAATTTTGTATTTTTCACGGTAAGCTGACTCCTGGGGTGCAAACTCAGTTTTTCCTATGATTCTTTATGAAATTGAATCAATCCTCATCTCCCCCAAGTTTACATCTGTGGTATAATAATGCTTCAAAAGGCACTTACCAGCCATAAGAAAGGAAAAAGTAGCTTCCAGAAAACAGGGGACATCATTTTATACGTCATGTTGGTCATCACAATACCTGGACACATGACACTTGAAAATAAGCCCTAGTTGGGGAAAAGATGGGGGGAGGGGAGAATGGGAGGTGGAGAGAAGTTCATCAAATAAAATACAAGGAAGGAAATAAATGTTTTTCTAAGCTTCCTTTTCCAAAACGTTCTGTTCTGTGTTTTGTGGATATAAACAGTATAAACCAGCACCGAAATTACTACTGAGTTAATGCCCCATTCAGTTATTCCACCAGGGGAGCAAAAGGGAGGTAGTTGGCCTTGAGGCCTATGTGGAGGAACCTCCATAGAGTGAAATTGCTCTCAAGGCTTAGGGATCTTTTGGCAAAGAGGGTGGCTGTTGTTGTCCAAATGGGACAATTTTTCTCACCTCCTGGTGGAACTTTCAAAATTATATAGGAGTTTGAAATTTAAGTGACCAATCATTTAATTATTGCAACCTAAACTACACAATGGCACGAGCAGAGAATGAATTGGGTGCAACTTCTACCTTAGAAGCAAACCCCATCTCTAAAATCTAGGCATCTGTAGTAACCAGAGACTCGTTATGAGGGAGTTCAAACTAGCCTGGAGAATGTTTGCTGTACTTTTACGTAGTAGCCTGGCTTTTTCTTGCTTGCTGCCTCCCAAATCTTGAATCTCAGCCCTTTCATTTGTCTTCTCTCTAAATGTGGGGCCTGGCTCATATGGGGAGAAATGGTGGCCAGAAGGACAAAGTATAGGAGAAAAGACATGATGGGAGAAGTCATGACTATGTTCTACCTTGATAATGCCAGTGTAATACATAGGCAGATTATTTGTTGAATAATCAGATAGGGTCATAACAATGGCAAATTCTAAATCTGCATCAATATGTATCCAAAAAAGTAAAAATGTGTCTCTATCTGAACTCTGTACATTTGGTAGATTTGTTTACAGTGCCTAGTTGCGATGAAGGCCGATGTTATAAGATATTTAAAACCTATAAAGCCACCCCTTCTCTTGCTCTAAGCTTCAGAAATCTCAGCTAAGCATTATTCACAAACTTGAAAGCTTATCTTTCCATCCACATGGACAGGAAACTTGTTCTTTGGTGTTTCTGCTGTAATTCCCTAAAAATACAGAAGAACTGAACCTTACCTGCTTGTTAAAATGGTTGTTTAAAGCCACACTTGCAAGATCAGCGCAATATTTAGAGGAGCTGTAGGCCTCTTTGCCCTGCTTGTGTTGGAAGTCATCAAGACTAAAGTTAGACTTATGGGCACTGACTGAAGAAGTCCAGATGAGCTGGGAAGGTTTTTCAAGGCAGCAAAGCAGAGGCTCCAGCTGCTGGATCTGAAAGTAAACAAAGTGAGATTTCCTAAGATTTCAAGCCTGCAGAATTGCGAAATGTAGCAGCTGTATAATATGTTCTGCTATGAAGATGTGCCTAGTTTCAGAAGTCTGAGGAAAGCAGCCAAAAGCAGTTCTCAAAATTCTGACGCACTGTGTGATGGGGTTGACTGTCCAATACTGACCAACAGACTATCCAAATAGACCCCGCTTTATGCAGTAATGCTCTCTAGCTCTCTGCCTACAAGGAGAAATCTTGGTGTAATTTTTTTCTGTTCAGAAAGAATATACAATGTATCACAACGCAATTTGTGCATAATGCGGATACAAGCCCTTCTTGCAAGAACGTGTCCAGCATTTTCTGTTACAGGTAGTCCCCAGGTTAAGAACATCTGGTTTAATGACGACCCATAGTTAAGAACAGAGCCTACTGTAGCAAAATTCGAGTTAAACACACCATGATTCAAGTTAAATACACAATGGTCCGAGTTCATTCAACAATAGTACTTATACAGTATTATACAACAATACTGTTCTGGCTTACATACAAATTTCACTTAAGGACAGACCTTAGGACTGGAACTCATTCTTAAATTGGGGGCTACCTGTATTAAAAACAAGAAATTATTATCAGTTGAATACTGATAATTGATAAGTTGATTGCTCAGTCAGAATAAAATAAGTTTATCTTCTGACCAACCACAGGTGAAGCACAGACCTCAGAACAATCTATAAAGCCACTACTTAGGGTATACCAAAGTTATTCTGGGTTTTGCCCGAATATGTAAAGACCAAAATGGAACAGGGATATCTAGGCAAGCCCTCCTTCAGTGTCCCTAGCCAGACTGGTGGAGGCTAATTGCAGGGAAGCTACTAAACATGTTCAGAGAAATCCACTTAGAAATCATCTTCAGACCTTTGTGTGAGTGCATGAAAATCTGCGAACAAAGCCTTGCATGGAGAATAATACATTTTTGTATACCCATTTATTCAGTTTTAGATGAATGCCTGGACTGAACTGATATCCTATCGGTGCAGTATGTAGACTAGATTCCATCGTATACAAACTTTTAAAGACCAAATACACAAAATCTGGTTCTATGAGACATCCTGTCAGGTTTAGCCCAAAGAACTCCACGAGACAATGCAAATTCAGTTCTACTGTGTTTATTAGCTACAACCTCTAGACAGAAAATCTCCCCAGACTGAAACCTAGCTCCCAAGCAACCAGCCACAACACCGCCAATTCCTCAGGGAGATGCCATCCTCATCCTCTTGAACTTCCCACGCTCCTCCG